TACTAAATTTATAACCCCAGTATTTGAGAAACATGTATCTTATTACTCATTCGCTATCCTTTTTTTACAAATTACCCAAATCTGAAGTGACTGCAAAAGGAATGGTTTTCGTAATTGGCAAATACATAGATTACAACATTTTGTGAAATGTTTGTGTAGGTACGAATCTTTGATAACGGTCTTACATATTTTGTTTCGTTTTAATGTTATGAGTCTTGTTGATTTTTGTGCTTTCACTGATTCTGTTAATTTTTATACTATGTCATAAAAATAAAAAAATCGCTTTTATAACTATTCAACTTTGCATAATCATGTTTGCTTAGCTTCCGTTGAACAAAAACTAAATTAAACAACTTTTCTACAAATTACTAAATCCTAAAGCTCTCAACTACCTTTTGGCGGTGTTGTGTTACTATCGGTAAGGTTCCAGGGCTCCACGGGTTAGGGGATTGGTCAGGGTAGGCAACGGTGCGAGTGATATTTTTGGTATCACATACTATACCATAGCCGGTCGTATAGGCTCGTATAGGCTATGGTCTATAGCAGTGGTAGGCAAACTTTTTGAATGGCGGACCATAAAATTTATGAAATTATAAGGTATCAAAAATTGACAATTTCAATTAAATAAAAAATTGTGGATCGGACAACGACAAAGAAGATTAAGTTGGTAATAATCACTTAAACCTATCTTATATATAAAATTCTCGTAATTTCTCCGAAACGGCCTGACCGATTTTTATGTATTGTAACGTAGTGTTGTTATATCGCTTAGGAGGAACTTTATCCCAGGAAATTGATAGAATTGAATGTGGTATTAAAAATTACATACAATTTTCTCTTCTACCACCTGCCCCTATTTTTATGGCGGTACGAAGTTCACCGGGTCAGCTAATAATATATATAATAGACCATATAATATCAAAATTGAAAACCCGTCGGCGGGCCGTACTTTGCCCACCACTGGTCTATAGGCTATGGTGACTGCTTACCATCAGGCGGGCCCGACGCTCGTTTGCCACCCTATCTTTTACCATAAAAAACAAAGGCAGGGCTCACATATTATGCAATTGAAACTTTCTTTGTGTATTGCTTTAAAATCATTTAGTTCAATTTACGTGCGACACCCCATGGCGTAACTGTAACTATAACTACAAAAAAAATACGCTTCAAAACTGAATAATTCGCCTATTTTTTTAAAACATTTTCTGTCAACGACCGACCGTCCTTGTCATTAGCAAAGAATGTGATATTGAAATATCTCGTGACATTGAAATGCAAATGAAATTTTGACATTTTCATTGGAAATTTGATGCGCCAGAAAAGTATGTCGCCTAGCCATCCTCATTTTGCTGACCTAAATCCAAAAGACCATTCGCCCGAATAGCGGAAGGGGCGGGTTCAAATCCCGTCTGCTGCCCGGTCCGCGTGGAATTTCTCCTAGTAAAATTTTCTTTACATCTAAAAGTTATTTTACTGAGTTCGTCTACTTCTCCAAACGTGAGCGGAATATACTACCTACCTTCCTTATATACCTACCTTCTTTAGTCGCATTGCCTTAGCCTTAACAGTTTTCGAATATTATTAATTACTAGCGGCCCGCCCTCGCTTCGCTTCGGTGTAGAGCTGAAATGTAGACTACAGTTTTTGTTCTCAGGCTTGTATTATACACAATGACATTCATCTATGATTCTTCTTATACCTGCATGCAAAGTCTCAGCCCGATCGGTTTAAAATTGACAAAGTTTCATACAAACTTTCATTCCCTATTTTATCCCCTTAGAGGTAGAATTGATCAAAATCCTTTCTTAGCGGATGCCTACGTCATAACACCTACCTGCATGCCAAATTTCAGCCCGATTCGTCCAGTGGTTTGGGCTGTGCGTTGATAGATCACTATGTCAGTTTTTCCAAGTATTTTACTGCTAGATGTTTAAATCTAAAGAAAATTTTACTGAAAAAAAAAAACACTTCGCCCAGGTTACTGACCGATTTCTGGATTTTTTTTATAGCCAGGTAGTCAAACTTTTTTCGTCCAAGGTTTTCGAATATGCCATGTTACCTATTGATTGGTTTTGCTTTTAATAACCACACGAGCCAAGCGACATCCGGAACACAAACCTGCAACAGTATTTCGTAATTCCGAATCGCCAACCACTCGACCTCAATAAGTATCCGACAATGAAATCCTTCAAAGTATATTTATAATGTTACATGTATTTCCGATTAGTCAATAAAAGCTCTTGCAAAATTTTAAATTATGTACATTTTAAAAATCTAATATTATTCAAAACGCGCATTAGGACTACTTTTAACATTCATTTAAGAGAAATTTGGTTTATCTTGAGAGAGTGGAATAAAGTTTCATTTTATTTTTCTAAGAAAGCTTAGGTTATAAAATACAATACAATAAAATAAGTACAAATATTGTTCTATGAGGAGCTCGATGGCACAGGTGGTTAGCGCATTCGGCCTGCAATCCGCATAATCGCAATGGCCGGTCATTGGATAGGTAACCAAAAACTTATTATCTAGAGCTCCTCCGCGCTTCGGAAGGCACGCTAAGCCCTTGGTCCCGGCTGCATCTGCAGTCGTTAGCACCCACCAATCCTTACTGAGCCCGCGTGGTGGGTCACAGCCAATCTCACTATTTCATCCATCCCAGCAGATAACTGCCTTAAACTACGCGAGGATAGAGTCCGAAATTCAATAATGATTAATGTATGCATGAAATATCGTTACAAATTATAAGTTAATAAGTGCATATATTATGTGTAGTAAATACTACATAATTATAATACTCGACAAATACACTACCATTCATACAAAATTTAAATATCATACCATCGTCAAATATCAACCCGTATTGTTTCTGGCGTAAAGGTGTCAATTATGTTCCAAGCATAATGGGCACCTATTGGGCTAAATAAATACATAATTAATAAGTGCATATTCCATATTTATTTATTTTTTAAACAAACTGTACTCGGTATGTTTTCTTATTAAGACACCCGAACTGCATGCCAACAAAAAACACTTGGACAATTATGCTTCATTCGCAACGGAAATAATATGTCTATTCTCTACGGTAATTGTGGTAACTTCTAAGGCCAGCCAAAACGGTCTTACGGTATAAGGAAAATGACGGTCAGGGAAAAAGTTCCTAAAAGCTTATTTAATTGAAAAAGATCAAACTGATACATTTGATTGAGAAGGATCTTGACAGTGAGTGACAGTGCGGACAATTGAATTATGAATTGAATAACAATGTACCTTAATATTATTTTTTCCAAACATATATTTTCTGTCTATATTTACTACTCATACGGTTTTACTTAATAATATGATCGTCTAAGAGAAATTTGAATCTCCCATAACTTCCAATAGCAAAAACCTAAAGCACTCGTGACGTTCGCTTGTCTGAAAAGTTTGACATTTCAAAGAAATCGTTTAAAGTTAAGAGTGGTAGGTCATAGCTGATTTTCCGTCCGAATTGGAGCACCCGTCCGGGGAATCAACTTCTACCTTATAGATGATCACAGTATAATAACCTTACCTTTTGGTGGTGTTGTGTTTCTGTCACTTGTGTTTCTGTCACTCACTGTTTACTACTCATATGGTTTTACTTAATAATATGATCGTCTAAGAGAAATTTGAATCTCCCATAACTTCCAATAGCAAAAACCTAAAGCACTCGTGACGTTCGCTTGTCTGAAAAGTTTGGCATTTCAAAGAAATCGTTTACAGTTAAGAGTGGTAGGTCATAGCTGATTTTCCGTCCGAATTGGAGCACCCGTCCGGGGAATCAACTTCTACCTTATAGATGATCACAGTATAATAACCTTACCTTTTGGTGGTGTTGTGTTTCTGTCAGTGAGTAAGGTTCCAGGGCTCCACGGGGTAGGGGATTGGATCAGGGTAGGCAACGGTGCGACTTATATTTATAGTATTGCAAAAGTCCATAGGTTATGGTAGCCGCTTACCATCAGGTGGGTCATACGTTTGTTTGCCACTCTTTTAACATAAAAAGTGTTACCTTTTTCTGTTGTAGCCATTCTAGTGCTAACAATAATAATAAATAAATAAATATTTCCAACACTCACACCAATTAGCCTAGCCCCAAAGTAAGCACTGTAAGGCTTGTGTTATGGGATACTAGGGTAACGGATAAGAATACAAATACAGTACATATATAAGTATATTTATATAGAAATACATATTTAACATCCACGACTGGAGTACAAATGCTCGTATTCATCACACAAACACCTGCCCCCCACCGGGATTCGAACCCGGGACCTCTCGAGTAGGCGACACCATGAAACCCGGCGTACAAACCACTCGGCCACGGAGGTCGTCCAACCAAAACAATGATTAAATATGAAATAAAAAAATACACTTTTCACACAACAACTTTTAGTAAGTAACAATGTGCTTTTTATATAATTTAATGGCCTCAAAATGTTGTAAGTTCATGACTTTTTTTCTTAATGATTTGACACTAATGTTATTTTCACGGGACGTCATGATTATTGCCGGTAAAATTTGGTGCATTATTATGTTCAGTTATTACATGTGTACACGACACGTAAACTGAGCATACGATACGGCGGCATCCGATTATGTGTCTATAGAATTGACAACTTTTACCATTACGTATTTACTAAAACCTTTCTATGTAATTGAATAGAAATTCTTATTTTTACGCACCTTTGTCAACGACTATCTTGGACAGAATTAGGAGCAGGGTTGAATAGTGTGACCTATTAAGCGTTGAAGCTTTATTCTGAGAAAAAAACCATTTCTTTTGAATTCTAATTTTGTTACTATAAAGCAGTTATAATAAATAGTTTTCATTTTAAGGAGATACGTTTTAAGTGATTATTAACATGTTTAATAACCGTGAAAGTGTCCAATGGCCATTCTAGATCCACATTGTTTTCACCGAAGAAGAATCGGACGAGTAACATTAAAAATCATAATTCTCGTATGACCGAAGGCCGAATCTTAGGAAGAGTCAGGGAGAGAGGCGTCGACTAACCGCTGTATAAAAGCCAACGGTCGATGGTTCAGAGCATCACACAACCACGACACCTCCGTGAGACAACATGAAAGCGTTCTTGGTAGGTAACACTCATGTGCAGTGAAAGTGAATTGTGACCCGGGCGTGTGACCCGCGCGCTCCCGTGACCGCGCGCTGGGACTTCCTCGCTGTGTGTGACTCATTCAAAGTGCCGTCGACCGCTCAGTTCTATTCATCTGTTCTAATGCATTGCAACTCATCGCATTAAAACTTTTTAATGGAACTGGACAGTCGGCCTTCCGTTAAGTTTGTTCATGGTGTGCATTTCTTTCGTAGGTATTGGCTGCTGTAGCGACGCTCGGCTCGGCTCGGCCCGAGGCGGGATATAGTTACAATGCTCCCGGTGGCGGCGGCATCGGCGGAGGCCACGGTGGTGGCATCGGCGGTGGCATCGGAGGTGGACACGGTGGTGGCTTCTCCTCCGGCGGCGGACATGGCGGCGGCTTCTCCTCCGGTGGCCTGAGCTCTAGCAGCTTCGGCATCGGCGGCGGCATCGGCGGAGGCAGCGGTGGATTCTCGTCCGGTGGCTTCTCCTCCGGTGGTGGCAGCGGATTCGGTGGTGGATTCGGCGGCGGCGCCGGCGGCGGTTTCGGCGGCGGTGCCGGCGGTGGTTTCGGCGGCGGCTTCGGCGGCGGCCCCATCGTTCAGAAGCACATCTACGTGCACGTCCCACCCCCAGAACCTGAAGAACAGCGTCCCCAAGTGATCTCCGGAGGTGGTGTGGCCCAGAAGCACTACAAGATCATCTTCATCAAGGCCCCCGCACCTCCCGCGCCCCAGGTGCCTATTATCCCCGCTCAGGCCCAAAACGAAGAGAAGACCCTCGTATACGTGCTGGTCAAGAAGCCCGACGAACAGCCCGACATCACCATCCCCACCGCCGCCCCCACTCAGCCCTCCAAACCCGAAGTTTACTTCATCAAGTACAAGACCCAGAAGGAGGCCGGTGGTTCCATTGGCATCGGTGGTGGTTCTGGAATCGGTGGAGGTCTTGGCGGTGGTCTTGGAGGTGGTATCGGCGGTGGCAGCATTGGTGGTGGACTCTCCGGTGGCAGCATTGGCGGTGGCATCTCTGGCGGTAGCATCGGTGGTGGACACGGAGGCAGCATCGGCGGTGGACATGGAGGCAGCATCGGCGGCGGCAGCATCGGCGGTGGACACGGAGGATCATCTGGCGGAGTCAGCTCCTCCTATGGCCCCCCTGGCCAGTCCGGCCCCTATTAAACAGCGCAAGAAGCGCTCCCAATGTGATACCTGCTCTGCCGGCGAAAACTAGTTATAAGTAGAGAAAAAAAATTACGGTGCCTAAATGTATTTATGTAAATAGTAATTTTAATTAATTTTAGTTGTATCATAAAGTTCTTTTGCATAAAACTTCTAAACAAAACATACATCTTTTCACTGAAATTATCCTCATTTATTTACCTCAAATATCTTAAATTCATCCAAAACATTCCATTTGAGCTTCATTAGAATATTGAAATCTTTTTCTTAGTTCAACTTTTATCAAAAACTTGTCGCAACGAACACCCAAAAATTCGATTTACATGATAAAGTCAAACAGGTGTCTAGAACTGATAGAAAGTTACGTTTCACCGTGTGGGCGACACACGATTGCGCAACCTGGGCAGTCTGACCCCAGTTGCATAATGCATTCAGAAAGAAGCTCCATCTCGCTACATCTTTTATAGAAAATAACAGTTTCGCTAAATATACTTATTACACAACACACACACGCCTATTGCGTCCCAACAATAACACCATATTGCGTAAACTTGACATTTAAGATTTTCCCTTTTCACAAACGGTTTTATTTATTACGCCATTATAACCGATAAAAAATATTGCGCCCATGGCTGGCTGTATGGTCGTACTGTTTTATTCGTTCGTCTCAAAAAGTTTACCTAGTGAAGAAAGTAATGTTCTTTATTTAAATTAGCGGGGTATTACGACAGCGCGCGTTCCGTTCCACGGGTCATAAACCTGAAGAAACAAAGAGCAAGGAGAGTGAATTTGCGAGCCGATCGGTGCAGTGACGTAACCCAATGATGACACGGAACGGGTTTACCTGAATATTTATAACATATGGTGAAACTCTCGACTTCCGCGGATCACGCTCGGCCATCCATTTGCTCATGTTTATTTAGAAATGGTGTACAAACATTTCGGGTTCGGTTGAACGGCACGGTCGCGTCGGTCAGACATCGTCCATATCTGTCAACGTAACTGAGCGACAAGTTTTCTTCTGTGTTTCATAGTTGTAAACTCAATATCTTGAATAATGTTTTCTGTTTTGATTACTCAACGGTATCGATTACGGTACTTAAAAACGATGAGGTTGTTTCGATGAAATCAGACATGATTTTATATAAGAACTAATAACATTCTTAATTGTATGCAGTTACCTATACACTGAAACGGCCTTGACTATTACAAATAATATAAGCTATGTTACGTTATATTTTTGTGCCAGTAAGTTTGATCTACTTAGCTTAGCACATGGTGTAAACGGGAATTGTAGTTGTGGTTAACCAGTAATTCTTTTTTTTATAATCTTGTACCATTTCTAATATTTAAAATTCTCGTGTTAAAATCCTCACGGTGTGCGTAATTGAACTACTCCGAAACGGCTCGACCGATTTGCGTGAAATTTTATATGCATATTCAGTAGGTCTGAGAATCGCACAACATCTATTTTTCATCTCCCTAAATGTTAAGGGTGGTTCACTGTTATTTTTTGTTTTGGACAAAATTTTTTGTCTTTATTTTTTTATGATACATTATACAAAAATACAATCAATCCTAAATTTTCACCCCTCTATCACCAACCCTTATTTTCAGGACGGTACGAAGTTCGCTGTGTCAGCTAGTATCTATATAAATAATGTAACAAACATTCTAAAACAGCTTAGCTGTTTCTTTGATAATTATCAAAAATTATCATTGCGTGTACTGTGCGCTCCATCTGCCTTTCGTTCTGTAATCTGAGGCTACAAAGATTAAGCTCTATGTCCCTTCCCTTTTTGTGCCAATCATTTGTCGTATACTGTACATATATATAACAAGACGACAGAAGCCTTTTACTCGTCTCCAACAAACAGGTTGGAATAAAACGTTAGCGAATCGGTAGCAAAGCGGTCAGTGCCTTGCCAGTGCATTCGCTCAGTTAGCGAAGGATTCGAAACACGACAATGTGATTACATAATGAGCAAAACAAAATAATAACAAATGACCACATTTTGTTTCATTTATTTGATAATATAAACAAAATACTGTAACTAATTAAAAGTAACACAAAAACTCACATTGGGTTTGTCCGGATACTGAGTCACTTAAGCTGTCAATACGTAGTTTGATATTCGTAAATTATATTCCTCTCCCGTTCTCGGTTGATTATAGTTAATATAGCAAATCATGAGACATTAAGTATTCATAAACAGTCGAAAGCTAAAATAAACCACCAATTAGGTACACTGCTATTTATCATTCATATCTTATTCATCAAGTTAAACATTCTATTTACTACACAATCACTTTATAGTATAAAGCAAAGTCGCTTCCCGCTGTCTGTCCCTATGTCCCTATGTAAGCTTAGATCTTTAAAACTACGAACTGATTTAGATGCGGTTTTTTTAATAGATAGAGTGATTCAAAAGGAAGATTTCTGTGTATAATACATGCATAATATGGTAGAGAAACACTGATAATTTTAGAGGTTTTTAATGTAAGGTCGTAAATAAACACATTTTTTGCGCTTACATTGCAACACTACAGCTCTACACCGAAGCGAAGCGAGGGCGGGCCACTAGTTAATATATATACTACAGTGTCAATTTATATTTTAACCTGCCCAAAAGTTATAATTATGAGTTACATTTACATTACACTACTTACTACTATTAGAATCCATCTGACTAGCTACAATAATTGAAAGTCGATCTCTTATATTTCTTAACAGCTGTACTTATAAAATAATTGCTGAGCTCAGGAAACAGTCGCAACACAAATCGTTACAAATTAGTGGTACCTAGTATTTGATCAACTTTTAATCACAAGTGGTATGATTAAATGTTAAATTATACTTAATGTGCTGTATGACGCTGTGGTTAGAGTGTCGGTAGTATCTGCAATAGTCTAGGCAGACCAAGCCCCTATTAGAAGAGAGACTTGAACAGAATGTGTTCTACTTATAAGCCGAGCACTTCATAAAGTATTTCAACCTGTTAAGTTTAATGCACCAGATTGTAATTAAGCACTTTGTAGTTTAATAATATCCTGTTTGATTTTCACCGTGACGCAAAATGAGTCAGACAGCGGGACTGCAGCTTTAGTTATGCGACACCCTTAATAAGCAAAACCCTGATGCTTTGACCACAGTACAAATAAATATTTGAGGGCTTACGTGTCGTTATCATTCATTATCTCGCTTACGTTGAATCCTTTTGCACATTATGAGACACGGACACCATCTTAAAGACAATATTGTCATGGTTGATTGTACACATCATGCTAGACCTCTATGAGGACCTCCGTGGCCGAGTGGATTGTACGCCGGGTTTCAAGGTGTCGTCTACTCGAGAGCTTCGAATCCCGGTGGGGGCAGATATTTGTGTGATGAATACGAGCATTTGTACTCCAGTCATGGATGTTTAATACATATTTCTACATAAATATACTTACATATGTATTCTATCTGTTACCCTAGTAACCTATAACACAAGCCTACAGTGCTAACTTTAGAGCTTAAGCTAATTGATGTGAGTGTTGGAAATATTTATCATCCTACGTCAGAGACAAGGATTGGACGAATGATTTTTCAAAACCTAATTTTTGGTGATAAAACAGAATACTTTTTCAATTTTATCTGTTACATTTATCTGGTTTGTACAATCAGGAAAATATCATTTGTGTTGTTATTCCAATATCAATCAAAAAGGAATTATTTTATGATTTCAATCGCTTGTTTAACACCTTCCTACCTTCTTTTGTAACCATTCGGTCTACACAAGTATGACCACATCTTCCTATTGTTCACAGCTCAAATCGTTATCGAATCAACACAATGTACTGTACAATCAGCGACGCAAGGCAGTTAGTTATATTTTACTATTCAATGTCGCAATGTATAAATATCAACTAAACAGAATTGAAGAGTCCGACTAGGAAAATACCTCCACGTTACAGAACACCACAGTAATATAACACTACTTTTAGTTGCCTTTTTTTTTAGTGTTTATGCTGTTTGTCGCAGATGGCCTTTACAGCGTTACCGGGTTTGGGGACGGCGAGATCCTAAGTAGACCTCAAGCCGAGAATTGGCGAATGCCTCTAGACCACTCGAACCTGAGGGGGTCGGCTCAATTAGAGGGCGTCTCTGGGACTCGTACCTCGGCTCTAGTAAGCCGTTGTCTGGTATAGCGTGTCGTGTGTAGACCGGGTCTTCGCACTCTTATCATACGGGTGCGGTGTCTGCCTAATGCTAAGCTAGAGTGCAAGTGTTGGTGTTTGTGGCCTGTGTGGGAGGAATCGGAGACGCCTTTTGGTAATGTTGTGTTTTGGTCGGTGAATAAGGTTTACATTACATACAATTAGGTGGGGCCCTGGGCCCCAGGGAGTAAGGGCTTGGGTCAGAGTAGGCAACGGCACGAGTGATATTTTGTATCACAAGCGTCTATAATCTATTGTGGCCGCTTACCATCAGGTGGGTCATATGCTTGTTTTCCCACAGATATAACACAAAAAAGCGTCACATTACTGAGGCTCGTATTACAGAATGACAACTTTGTGTTGATCTTTACTTGAGTATATAATTTTTGCTATATATATATATATATGATGAGATGTCGCTATATATATAAATATATAGCGACATCCCTTTCTAACTGTACTCAAGTAAAATATCTTTGCTAGGGAGTAAAGAGCTGCTTTTTTCATGTCCCCACGTAGCCTGTGAGTTTTTAAATATCATCTGCATGGAAAGACACAGGCTCGTTTTGGAAAATGGACGCTGAAGTCATCATATTCATACACATCGACATGAGCAGTACCTAAATGTATATGTTGTCGTTTATTTTGTGAATATTTAATACTAGAGTTGGCCTGCGGTTTCATCCGCATTAATTTGTGGAAAAAAGTTGTAGTGGGTCACAATTAATATATAGACATGCTGTCGTGGACTTTTTTATAGAATTTTTAAAGGCCAACCATTCCGTTATACATGATTTTTGTGTAACTTTTACTGTTTACGAAGCGCATGCAACGGAAGCTCACAAATGAAATATTTTTTTCCCAGTTTGTGCAACATTTTACATTGGTGCTCAGCTCGTATTAGTCGTTGCGTTATGTTATATAACCTACTAGCTGTGCCATGCGGTGTTGCCCGCAGTTTA